TACCAGTGATTTATCTTAGCATAGGTTTTTTATGTATGTTAATATTATATTATATTATATTATATTATATTATATTATATTATATTATATTATATTATATTATATTATATTATATTATATTATATTATATTATATTATATTATATTATATTATATTATATTATATTATATTATATTATATTATATTATATTATATTATATTATATTATATTATATTATATTATATTATATTATATTATTCACTGTTAATTGCAGGCAATTACAGTCGAATTTTAACTTATGGTGCATACTATGGAAGTTAGATATTAGCATAAACAAACTGAATTGTCGAATTATTTATATTATTATATGAATTATTTATGGAAATAGAATGAGTAAGTGTCATTAAATATCTCTTCTAAACTTAATTTTAATATACACAGTAATTATGTAGTACTGTAAAACATGTTGAAAAGGCGGCATGCAATTTTAGCGAATTGTGGTAAAATGACGTAATAGCGAAATGTTGATTTAGCGAATTTCTTTTGTCATTGTTGATTTCTTTGTTTGGCGGCCATTTTGAATTGATAATAAATTCATTAGCGACATCTTGAATTAGCGAATCAGTTCTCTCGCTAAATTCGCGAAAAAAAACATGTATTACAGTATTCAAATTACTGGGTTCTGTCACATATTTTCAAGAAATATTCAAACAATAATACACTCAGGTGATTAGATATGTCAGTTGTTGACAGCCGATTGATGATGATGGATGTATTGTGACATATTTTGACCCCCGGATTCTGACCTTGCATTCTTGCAACATTTACTGCACTTTCATACCCGTTCATGCAGTTTCCTTTCATTATTTCATCCAGATTCCATGATATTTAATATTTAAAACCAACCTTTACTTCACAATCACTCTAGTTTTCACTTTTCTAAAATTATTTTACTGATTAAAAGACTTTTCACTCCTATCATGCAATCTCCCATAGTACGTCCGCATACACAGCGGCGATCACCAACATAACTACAAATAAACTCGCTTTCATGAGCTGAGGTCTCAGTCCGTTGATATAGTTACATTCTCACTGAGTGAGACTGAAGCAGTGGAACACACATAGAATATCGAGGTTAGTTTGGTTTATTTCTAGTATCAATACGACTTTGTGCCAACTGTACCTTAAGAAAATGAAATGAAAACAGAGCCCCCCGCCCTGACAAGATGTTGCTTGGTCAAACTTATTTCTATTTACCGTATGTATATTTACCGTGTGTATTATTATTCAACAATCGCTTTGTTCCTATTTGTGAATGTTTTCAAGGCGTGTTCTTGACAAGCTGATGTTAATGATATCCGCGAAGTATTAGTGCGACTACTATATCAATATAAACCATAATCAATGTGGTAATGGCAGACTTCCTTTAATATGGGGGATTCAAAAACTGATACTACTTTTTTACGAAAAGACACTAGTTTTAATATTCTTTCGTGAAAACCGTTAGCAAATAAATAATTTGAGAAACTCGAATAAGTCATTTATTTTTGCATCAGAATGTGATATTATCTAATAATGACTAGGAAGAATTACATATGCAATGAGAAATATCACATTCAGGTTACGGCATTGCCCCCGCAAGTGTATATAAGGCAACAAATTAAAATCGATACCCGGTGTATCTAATGAAACAATGTTTTATACCTTGACTGTAATAGTGCAGGCATCAATTCAGTCAGTTTGGCTGTTGCATTGTGACGCCTAAGTTTGCCAAACAGCACGTGAATATATGATAACAAATGTCCCTTACCGATCAACAATAGTTCACAATCTGTTGTGACAATGTTATCCGCGAGTTATTTTTTTACTAACAGCGACATATACACGTATATCCGATATCAACGGCAGCGAACAATTGGGCGTGCATTGACAATTCTTCTATTTTTAACATTAAAGTTTCTCAGAATCGCCGTCAGATTTATACTAATTTGATACTATTTTTACTATGATATATTGTTTTAACTTTTTAATTTTCTATTGACATGTATTTAATTATCAATGCATCATGGGAAATAGCCTGGTTAACCGCATTCTTCTTTAGATGAAGTTATTAAATGCCACATTCGCCCCTGGCTACCAGAACCGTGTCCATAACTTACCTCGAGTTACCGCCCTCGCCGACGACTTAGATGAACGCAAACCATATCTGATATTTAAGCCGATCGCTAAGAGCAATTTATGTCATAATGACATTCTTGCATCATCCAAACACTGAAGTCATATGATGTCATATAACAGCGATATCTATCTATGTCAATATTGATTTTATACAACAGGATGAACGGATACAACTACTTCCAATTAGTTCGATATTGCCGTTCAAACTTATGAGGAGGTGACATAGGACAATATTTAGTTATAATATGATTTCCGATTTTTGTTGACCACTAATTGACAGCTTTTCAATTGCATGTCTGTGCTATGTACAACAACGTAATTGTGGGTTTAGTGGTTCGTTCGTTATTAGTAACTCCCTGACCTTTGAGAACAGTGGGAATGCAAAATCCTGTTTAAATGTGTTTTGTTGTTTGATTATTGTTATGATGTATTCACTCTATTTGTGCTTTGTATTATATACACTCATGATCGAAGTGAATATAATTGTTGTCCCATACTCAAAAAGTAGGCGTTTCTAAATTCACATATTGTAATTTTAATGAAACCACTGCCACAAAATGATTTGCGGTCAATTGTGCAATTTCCACAGCAAACTCAGTATTGCCATGAGTGTGATAATAGTTTCTATCCATTGCATCATTTGTATCAGTGTTGGGAAACACTGTGTTCTATAAAAGTAAGCGATACTAGTATTACTACACAGTGTTTAGAAAAGTCGCAAAATATATCAATTGATCATAATTGTATTGCTCTCTATGCTGTAAGGTAACGTAATCAGTCTTCTTGTCAAATGTTTGAACTAACTTTGATTTATTGACTTAAACAGTTTGTAACTTTGAGTGTATTTTCACCCCTATACTACGTTCAGATGATTGCACTTGACACGTACTAGTCGGCTCGTTCCAACTGAACACTCTGGCATGATTCGAAAATGGCTCCACTTCTTGGATACTGTCGCGCGGAGATCGAAAATTCACATTTATTGTGCAATTATTGATCGATGTTTATACAAATGTTTTCATGTTCTAGTTCGTGTTTATAGTTACTTATACATGTTTCTCTGATTGCGATCCGGCCTTTAGTCGCTGAGTTATAAGCATTACAAGTTTAGAAACAAACACAATCTTACCAGATTGACCATTTTAAAAGTCGGACCCATTGCGAACGTAGGAGAAGTAATCTCAACGATCACGCGCTATACACTGGCACGCAAAAACACGCGTCCGACCGAAAGCACGTTTCACTTGTGAGTCTTGTTAGTTTTGTCTTGTACACAACGTTCATCCAGTTTCTCAATAAACGGAGTAGTCCTTCATTTTGACTGACTTCGCATACTGAGATTGTCTTGCTGTGTGTTAATAAGGGAAAGGACCTGTGCTGGACTTTATCCGTCCACAACAGATACGGACGATCTTCGGCATGTCCGTCTCGGCAATTGGCTCGAATATTGGAAGAAATAATTCACAAACAATTTCGGCAGATAGCATATAAAATTAGAAATCTTTGTTTGATCGATTACTATCGTGGAACATAGTGCTGTGCTTGCTTGTGAAAGTAATGCATTCCGGGTATCCCACTGTGGCTGCAGTAACACACGTAATCTTAGTACATATTTCAGTATTTTTCTACAGTATCCGCGAATATATATGGTCTACATCATTTCTACAAATCTCGAAATATGACTAGCAAGGGTAATTATAGACCCGTTTCCATAACTACAGTTTTATCCAAGGTCTTCGAACACATACAGATGTCAAAATTGATGTTTCTGACAATCAATTCGGTTTTGAAAAGAATCACGCGACTGACTTGGGTATTTTTGCGTTGAAAGAAATTTCCGTGGAAGTCGTGTATTTGTTTGCATTCTCGATGCATCTAAGGCCTTTGACAGGGTCAACCATTGGAGCCTGTTTACTAAGCTCACAAAACGCAAAGTGCCGGGTTGTGTTAGTCGATTTCTTGTCAACTGGTCTGAAAACCAAAAGCACTGCTACTGCCTCTCATTCAATGTATCAAAAGAAGTTAGAAAAGTTAGTGTTTGTCGCCTTCATTGTTCAATGTGTATATGGATGACCTAAATGTGAATTTAAATAAACTTCCTTGTGGCTGTATTGCTGGCAACAAAGTAATTAACAATATTAGTTATTCAAATGATATGTGTATACGAGCGCCCTCAATAAACGAGTTTCACAAACTACTGAACACTTGGAATTACATGCCTCTGATACAACGCGATAAAAACGAAGTGTATACATATTCCCGACCGACATGCTGTCTCCGGTGAGCCTAATGAGTCAGGTCTCTTGTCTCGTAGTTCAACTATCTGAGTCACATGGTTACGTGTAATATGAAGGACAATGCGGACATTGATCACCAACGTCACTTGTTTTGTTTGAAAGCTAACCTGCTTTTGATCTATGTTTGTTGTTAACAAATATTTTTTTGAATTTAGAGAGCATGCTTGCTTGTACAAAAGTTTATTGACTATTTTACAGAACAGTAACTTGAGATGGAGGTCAGCCTTGTTACACTGTTGCAATCAAATGTAATACTGAGACTTTGTGCGCAATTACGTAATAGCAAACAAACTAATCATTTCAGTATTGTGTATTTTTTATATAAACACATTTGTTTGAAATACGTGTATACAATTTTCTATTCTTTGTTGGAAGGACAGTCGATGAGCGGTATTTGGGGTGGGGTGCACTGATCGAATGTTCTGTAGTTAATGACTTGTTGTTTGGTTCATGGCATTGAACTAAGTAACATCGGATCGTCTATAGAAGTTTATTTCAAGCCATGTGTGACAATTATACTTTAACTTATTACATTGCAATGTTTTGGTAAGCTTTATTTGATGTTGTTACTGCCATTTTAATTTCATTTTTGTTTATTTCCGCCGGGTTTCTATCCTATATTTAGAAATGTTCAAATGTCGGAGCATGCAAAGTTAATATCAATCTAACACATATGTGGGTAGGTCATGCAAAATATAATTCAATCATTACAAAACTTTGTTCTTATGGAGCATACATTTAGATAAGCTGTTTGCTTCAAAAAAATCATAATCCAATGTCTTTATCAACATATCATACGTATACACAAGTAATAATTTGCAACTGGTGTTTTATGTATACCTACACACAAGTTTGTGGCAAATAAAACATTAAGTTCCTCGTTAAATATTAGAATCAGTAGTGGAATTACCACGTGACAACCGTCAGGATGCAGAATTCCATGCCAAATTATTTTATTTCACAATTAATATAGCAATTACAATGCAAACATTCCATTTTTTTTCTTGGAGACACCATAACAATAAAGCTGTAAAGAATACCTCCAGTACATGATTTCTCTTTTACCAGATTTCAATTTATCGACAGATTTTACGAAATATCTTGCTCTAAGTGAAAATGACCATAAGCGTCTTTGTTTTTGGTATACTGAAGGTATGATTCTATGGCTGAAAATATTGTTTTGCATCTAATAAATTCAATTCCCTGACATAACGCGTTATAATGTTATTGTAAAACAAATCACCGTCATATCGATTTACAATTTCCTCGTACTATGTATTACCTTAGTTATAAGGAAATATCTTTAGTTTAATGTTGTAGTATTGGAAGGGACTTCCCATGACCATGTTGAGGAAATGTTGAGTCACATTATGTTAAAACACTATTTTGTGAACATATATCATTGTGGAAAGTTCTCTTACACGTCACGTAAACAGACGATGTCTTTAAATATCCAAATAATTCTACAATCACATTTATCTCGGTAATCTCGGAGAACAGGTATGTTTTGATTTAATATGCAGAGGAATCATACATTGTTGTAATTCGCAATGAAATATTACTATTGATGATTTAATTCAGATTCCGTTCAAAATATTATCTTTACCACGAACACATAGTGTTGTGAATATGGGCGATTATGACGTCACATGCCCACTCAACACAAAAGGTGTTCGATTGGGCAGTCGCTGTCTCAATTTAAATACAGCGGACTCTTACTTCGCCATGAGTGTGTGGCATACATTGATAGTTTGATGCCAAATTAAACAAAACAAACATGCTATATGGCAAAAAATGACATTTTCGGTGTTTAATACGAAATGAAAGAACCTACTTGTGATTGATATCCGTCCTTACAGCCTGGTCTAATATAATTTATGTGACCTTTGTGTAAACACAGCCAAAGCGGGGCAATGTAAACGGGCGATACCATTTGATGTATGTATGCTATGGAAGGGAATATAAAAGCACTGGTAGTCACATGATTGCAATTACTGTCTCAAATACATATGTACACAAGTGACGAACAAGACTTGTGCAATGAAAGACGTAACGACTAAACACCAGTGAAAGTTTCTTGTCCCCCCCCCACCTTCTTCCCACCACCACCGCACCACGACACTAGAATGTTCCAGAATGCGTCACACATACGTCACGTTCTATTTATAGGTATGACTTCATACACTATTCATGACTATTTATAGTTGTACACCTATATAGAGCAGTACATTACTCATGCAAGTCATTTTCCAGTGACTCATAGAAGAACAACGAACAGGTCAGCCAATAAGAAACCAGACATCCACCAATACACTCCGCCTACTACCACTAGGAGTTGTTCAGTCATCCAGCCACACACTACGGTACACGATTTATTGAAGAAGAAACAATAAACGGTAAATATGAATGAGCACGCATGGGGTTCCACCTACCTTCATATCCGAGGTTAAAGTGCATTAACCTGTATAATGAATGTATCGCGTGGTACAATAACATTCGTGATTGTGCTATGACAGTTTACTTTAAATACAGTTTTATTCACAATGCTCAGGCATCGTGATACATGTAACATTTTGTTGAATTTATTTAATTACTTTCTCTTCAAATAATTAGTCACACTTTTATGAATTCGATTTATATACTTTCCAATTATAATACTTAGACGTCCGTTTCATTTAAATGTTGAGATATAAACATATCCCTTACTGATTCTCGCGTATTCGCATAACTGCGCGTAATTTGAATAGTGGCAAACTCATTACACCATGTATTCTCATAAAATCTAATTCGGTGTATAACATTTATAGTAATCGCAAATGAGGGCGACATCATTTGGGGGTACTGTATTCAAAGAGATATTTCAATTAAGAAATTTATATACTTAATGACCGTGATTCAACCACGTGAGAATGATCACCTCCCTCGCATACACTTTCAAAGTCACGTGGTGTATTGGGTGACACGGCATGGTTCGGTATGTTGAATGAATGAACTTTATTGTTCCCGTGTAAAAAAGCGTAGGTTACATAGGGTGTTTGCAACAATAAAGAATTTTTGTTAACAAGACAATATTTTGAAAATAACTAGTATGAATGTACTTAAAATTCACAAATAAATAAATATGTATAAAAAAATAAATACACACATAAATTATTAAAGAAATCTAATCTCTAATTTTGGTCGCAGCTAAAATAAAGTTAGATATCTCTTGTTGAACTAATTTATCTTGATGAGAAAGTAAATATGTGAAACGAGAAATGTTATTGTCAGCCGGAACTGTAATTTTATGTAACAGTTGAGATCTCTGCTGTTCATAGTTTTGACAATCTAAAAGGAAATGGATCTCATCTTCAATGCAATTATTACAAAATTGACAAAGTTTGCTATTTATTGGTACTTTAGGGATAGAATGTCTGTCTTTTTCAATAGCTAAACAATGATCGCTAACCCTGAATTTAGTGAACATTTTTCTATTTTCACCATTCAAATTAAGTAAATAAGGCTCCAAATTGTACTTTGTTTTAAATTTTGAATATGTTCTGAGAATGTTTAGAATTTTCATTTTATATAGCAGTTCTCCACTTGTTCACATACCTGCTTTGTAAATTTGATCATAAAATTTTACAAATTGTTGCTGTTTGTGTTTTGAGGATTTTTCCTCTCAGAAGAAAATCTAATGATGCTTCCTGTAATATGGTTTTAAGATTAATGAACAAACTATTTTATATAGATGCCTTTTTCTGTTCATAGAATGTCTGTTTAGTTAGATTATCATCTGGTAATTCTACGATATGCAGCCAATATTTAATTATTTGCTTTTTGATGTCAATTAAAAGAGGATATTGCCCCAATTCTGCTCTTGCTGCTAGATTACATGAGGTCCTGTTAATCTGCAAGATTTGCTTACAAAACTTCAAATGAATTTTTTCTATCGTGTTTTTTCCCATTTGTTGTTGTTGATGAAACTTTGTCCCCATACCTCTGATCCATATAGAAGGATGGGTTTTATAAAAACGTTAAATAAATGTAAAGAAAGTTTAATATTTTTATTATCCCATAGTATTTTGTTCATAGCAAAAAGTGTTTTTCCAGCTTTCTCTGCTATATTGGCTGTTGCCTCATTGAAATTACCATTTGAACTGAAAATAATCCCTAAATAAATATACTGCTTAATACATTTAATGCATTGGTTGCCAATAGTAATATTAACACACATAAATTAATTCTAATAAGAATAAAACGTGGTTCATCTTCCTTTGCGACACGTGGTACAATACGATCACAGCAATCCTATGTGCTATATATACAACATTCAATCTTATACCTACCACCTGTGAAATGTTACACATATCACTTTTTTCAGAAAAGTTTTTTTTCAAAATATATGATCGATGACCTTGTTCATTTTATTTAGCGTTGACTTTAACGACGTACCGTTGCTTCAGGACATGGTCGGTTTTTCAAAAGATATATTCATCCAGTCACTGGTAGAAGATAAATTCTTATGTCAACTCTGTGAGAAAGTACTGTGTGATCCGATCCAGACTTATTGTGGACATAGATACTGTAAAACATGTTTTGAAGACTTGTTAAGGTAAGATAACTGTTGACCAGAAACTAATTGAACTGATTACAACTTTGATTGACTTAAACCACCACCACTTACTTGGAACACATTAGCCAAATCAAAAACTCATTGAATGTTATACATCACTGTCACAGCTTTGACAGAGGTATTGATCTAATATTTCAGCAGTAGCTTCTCTGAGAGTATTTGACACTAATGTATTTTCAGTTTTGTCACACTTAATACGTTCTGTACGCCCTGGGCATTGTATGTTCGCATTCACAACTCTCACTCCGTTTCACTTCCGTATGCTATATGCGGTAATGTGGTATCTGTGAAATATTGTTGTCATTATTCATGAACAATACACACACTAATATAAACATTAATTTGCATATTTTTATAGATACAACGAGAGTGTATACTGTAATGCATGTAAAGCTGAAGGAATAGACGACACTGTGTTGACTTCACAACAGGTAAATTACATTTTACAATAAATAAAAACTTGCTTCAAATTGTGGCATTGGCACGTAAGGGCTAAATATTATTAACAGTTGTTCTCCTTTAGTAAATGATACGACAAAGGTACAAAAATCTCCGATATCCATTCTCATTCATTGATAAACACTCCGACACGTGTACTTATCTGAGTGGCCCCTGTAACACCGCATATCATATACCTTGTAATGCCCAACTTCGAAGTGCTTTCATCGTTCAAAACAAAACGCGTCATTCTAAATTACGACGTGTGTTTGGGGTCACGCAGTGTAAAGTTGTAATTACACCTATATGGTAAATGATGAAATCTTTATGGACTGAATACGGTTTTGCTGCCCTCGGTCGTACGGCTTACGCGCATGACTTCGGGCCGCGAAAGCCGTATCCAGTCCATAAAGAAAAATATCATCGACATTACAACTGTAATGAAGGCTCGGGGCTCCCCATTCGACGTCTTCAATGTTTGAAAGTAATGTTGCTTGATATTGAGTATTTTTATTGACATAATCAACATTCCATATACTTACTTATTAATTACTAGATCTACCCCGATAGAGCGATAGTGAGAGAGCTCAATTCACAGGACGTACAATGCGTCAATGTCGGCTGTAATTGGACCGGGAATTTCAGAGATTATCATTTGGTAAGTGTGCATGTGCTGATTCTAACGCAAAATAATTATACATTAATAATAAATCTAGTGAAAAGTGACCCTTGGTCAATTCGAAATTAAATATTTCAATACGTAATTCCTATTTGCATACATTGTGAGTGTCATGTTATTCTTTAATTAAAAAAAACATTTCCACTATCCACACCATTTATGACCGGGTAATTGAGGGTAATTGCAATTTAGAGATTTCAACTCAGTTTTTCTAAAAAAAAAAAAACTTTCGTATAGTAATTCCTATGTCTATTTTAATTTACAAAGAAAATATAGTAATATATTCACCAGGGATTTGTATTGACAGGAGTGAAGAAGACCAGGGCTATCAAAGCGTTTGGATCTGTTCAGCTTAGAAAAATTAAGCATGTATACATGTACTCAGTGTAACTATCTTCAATGAAATGCAGTCACGTGACTGAAAAAACAACGATATTGCTTCTACGATATCTATATATAATATATTATAATCTATTATTACAGAATCATATTCCGACTTGTGAATATGAAATGATACAATGTGTCAATAGAAATGGATGTAATGTATCTATTCAACGTGGACATCTATCATCTCATCTGGAGAAGGATTGTCCAATGAGAATAGTGAAGTGTGAATACTGCACAGTAGAAGTTTCATTTACCAATATAGAGGTGAGTATTGTAATAACTGAGTTGATATTACCGTGGTTATTATTCGGGTAATACATTGCGAAAGCAATTCACCAGACCATCCATAGATATCTGGATATATTTCACTGCGTCTTACTCACAGATGATATTTTTAATGTACTCACTTTTCTGTCTTACAGATTCATCTACTCGAATGTCCCAAGACTCCGGAGAAATGTAAATTCTGCGGAGAGTTTTTACCACGAGAAATGGTGAGTAATACATGATAATTATTACAAATAAACACAGATTCAGCAATTCACGGAGATGATTGATTCCACGTGAATGTTTAGAGGCATGTGATATCAAAGTTGCAACTATTATAAATAATATAAGTTTATACAAAAAATAATCTTAAGGTTTTCTTAAATTATTCTAGATGGAGCAACATACAGATACGAAAACAGGTGACTGTGTTAGAAAGTTGATAGCATGCCAATTTCAGGACGTTGGATGTCATGATATGGTGAGTATAGTGACGGGAATGTCTGGGAATATATTTGTATGTCTTAGATGATTGTATGTGTATGTTAGTATGAATAATATATAAACAATATGGGAATTATCAAGAGCCCCAAGTCATTTAACGTAAAAATTGGTTTTCATTGAAGGTTGAGAAATCCAAGACGGCGGAGCATAATACCAGGTCTATGGGTGAGCATTTATTGATGATATTACAGTTCATAATATCTCTTATGGCAATGGTACGGAGTATGCGAGATAAAATTGATGAAGTTGAAAACGTGAGAACAAGAATTAACGAACATGAAAATCAAATAAAACAACTAGAAAAGAATGAGAAAACACTGCACCATAAGATGACTGAAATGGTTTCAGCCGCACAAAATGAAAAACGTAATGGGATAATTACTGGAGAAAACAAAGATCTTGTAGAAAAATACGAACAGTCAACACGAGCATTGGATAACTCTATGACGGTTGCCAACAAAAAGCTCGCTACCTGTGAGGGCGTGGTCGCAGTGCTCAACAATCAGGTGGAAAAAACAGACGAAACTGTAACTTTGTTGTCATTACAACAGAAGAAGTATACTGAGATGATAGAGGCATTAGAAAGAAAAGTGAAAGCACAAGATAGAATTATCGCTTTAAAAGATGTTGCTATTGCTGAACAAGATTTGAGAATACAAAGTCTGGAAATGGCGTCCTATGATGGTGTGTTGGTTTGGAAGATAACAGACTTCGCCCGTAAACGACAAGACGCCATCAGTGGAAGAACCACCTCTATCTACTCACCTTGTTTTTATAGTAGTCGCCATGGATACAAGATGTGTGCTCGGATATATATCAATGGTGATGGAATGGGGAAGGGTAACCACGTATCTTTGTTCTTTGTGATCATGAAGGGAGAGTCTGACGCCCTCTTGCGATGGCCATTCCGTCAGAAGGTCACGATGATGTGGTTAGATCAGAACAACAGAAATCACGTGATCGATGCATTTCGACCTGACCCTACTTCAAGTTCATTTCAACGTCCCAAACACGACATGAACATTGCCAGTGGATGTCCTCTATTTATGCCTCTATCAGATTTGGACAGTCCACTTCATCATTACGTCAAAGATGACACAGCATTTATCAAAATATTTGTTGA